CATATGACTCGTGTGCTATATTTCTAACTCTCATAAGAGGAACAGGCTGATATGTAAGTGATTGTTCACTGGTCATCTTCCCCTCTTGCTGAAGCACTGAAAGATATAAAAATTACGACTCGATGTATTGTGGCAGCTTTAATGTTACTCACGGCTCAAAAAAGGCTGCCGTAGCATCACTTTCAAGTTGAAACAGTCAATTACAGATGGACCTGAAAAGTAAACAGTAAACAACAATCTCAATTACATTTCACAATATGATATTGACCAAATAAATGCAGCCTTGGTAAGCATAAAAGATTTCTTTCAAGAACATTTTAAAAATCTTATTGAGCCCCTAAATTTTAGTCACTTCTACAATGTCAAGTTTGATAAAACATGAGGGTGAGAAAAGAATGGCAAAAGTTTGTTTTGTGTGCACTGTTCCTTTAAAGCATTTTAAACATGAGTTTCTGAGTTTATTTACACGAGTCATCATTCTCCAGTATTTTATCAGATGTAGAGTTAGATATTTATGTTTTTCTGGTCTCATTTTTTACAGAATTTGCACAAAAATATCAAATCTACTTTATTTTCATCAGTTTAAAATTTAAGTTTGATTCAAATGTATTCTACAGCACTTTTTCACAATAATAATTAAAAAAAAAACATTCCCAAGCAGCTTTATAAAGAATGGAACTGAGCCTTCCAAAAGCTATATTTATACACAAAGCAATTGTGGTTAGTGAGGAGGCGAGAGCTTCTTTTTACAGTCATCATTTTCCAGGGGAGCGTATCGTGTCTCATTATGTTGTTAGTGAACAGGAGGCTGTGGTCAGGAAGACCAACTACACGGAGCGGGTGGGTCGGCTACTCAGCACGGGACGTTACAGATGAACCCAGTATTTAAAGGCAAGACAGAGAAGGGTACACAAACATTAGTTTAAACACAGGCGGTAGAGATATGGACCATATGGAGGACACTGAATGAGAAAACGAGTCAATGAGAGAGGGAGATACGGGGGAAGGACTGCAGACACATCGCTGGACTAAACCTCATGCATCGCTGCTCTGTTTACAGTATGCAGAGAAACAGACTGACAGTGTGTCATTACACTGAGATACTAAACACACACGCACACGCACACACACAGCTCCTCAATTCATACACATCACTGACAATGAAAGAACGCAAATTTATACACATTAAAATAGGTGAAACAAAGGCTGACACTAGTTACTAAAATGTAATTGGCTAAAACACATATTAATATGTTAATAATTATATGAATTAATATTTGTTACCTTAATTAACTTTCAGATATTTATTTATTATTTGCTATAAAAAATGATATGATCAGTAAGTCATAGTAACTTGTGTTTTTACATTAAGTTATATAAAATTCAATTCCATTTTTTTCCCCTTTTTTTGGGTGGGGGGG